CTGACCTGAACATCGGGGAGCTCTTGGTCCCCAGACTGATAGCTGGGGATACCAGCATTGACTGATCCAGACCCCAGGAACATGGGTTTCAGTAAGGAAGCCTCAGAAATCTACAGGACCTACTGTAGTAGTTCAGTACTTATCCCTAGCATAGGTGTGGACTTTGGGAGCCCATTCCACATAGAGGAATACTCCCTGAGCCAAGACACACGGGAGGTGGGCCTAGGCCCTATCCCAAAAGATAAAATAAACTCTGATGACACCCTATGGAAGGCCTCACCATCCAGGGGGAGCAGAAAGGATATGTGATAGGTAGGGTTTTAGTTGGGGGGGGTAGGGGAGGACGGGAGGGCGAAGGGAACTGGGATTGTCATGTAAAACAATCTTGTTTGTTATTCAAATAAAAAAATCTGCAAAACAAAAAAAAGAAAAACAAAAAACAAAATTTTGTGTGTTTTGCTGACATGAATGTCTGTATACCATGTATATGCCTAGTGACAGCAGAAGCCAGAAGAGGGCATTAGAGTCCCTGGAACTGGAGTACAGATAGTTATAAGCCATCATGTGGGTACTAGGAATTGTACATGGGCCCCCTGGAAGACCTGCCAGTGCTCTTAATTGCTGCACCATCTCTTCAGAGTATAAAGAGTATTCTCTCTGTCTGTGAGTGTGTGTGTGTGTGTGTGTGTGGTGGTGGTGGTGGTGTGTGTGTGTGGTGTTGTATGCACATGTTGTGTGCTAGGACATACATCCCTGGGTGTGCAGAGGTCCAGGGAGGACATTGGTTGTCCTGTTCTGTCACTCCCCACCTTACTCTCCTGAGACAGGCTGTGGTGGTCTGAATGAGAGACAGGTTCAGGCATTTGAACAGTTGGTGAAACTGTTAGGGAGGCTTTGGGCAGTGCAGGCTCGCTGAAGGAAGCACATTGCTGAGACAAGTTTGAGAATTTAATACCTTGCCTCACTTCTACTCTGTTCTCTGCATCTGGCTTGAGGTAAAAGGTGTGATTTCTTCACTTCCTGCTCTGCTGCCACGCCTCTCTGCTATGGTGGACTCTTCTTCTTCTGGAACTGTAAACCTAAATCTTTCTTCCTTGAGTTGCCTTTGGCTGTGGTGTTTTATCACAGCAACAGAAAAGTCACTGATATGCAAAGTCTCTGAACCTGAATTAGGCTGGTGGCCAGCAAGCCCCAGTGAGCCTTCTGTCTCTACCCCAACACAACACTGGACTTACAGGTGTGTGCACCCATGTCCAGCTTTTTACACAAGGGCTGGAGGTTGAACTCAGATACAGATGCTTGCTCAGCAAGTATTCTTTCCCTCTGAGCTCAGCTTCCCAAGTGTTTTCTTAATGGGTCCTTGATCTATAGGGCTGGTTTTAAACTCCAGGGTCCATATGATCCTTTGGGTACCGAGTAGCTGAGACCGTAGGCATTGACCACAGCATCAGGCTTGAGCAAGTATGAGGCCTGGGCAAAGGGCTTGTCTAAGCTTCTGGGTTCAGATTGTCTCTGAGCTTGACCCACAGAGTACAAGTGAGGGCTGAGGCATGGCCTCCCCTGCAGGATCTTAGGGGAAGATCCTGGCTGGCAGGTGAAAAGCCCACTGTGCCGGCCTCTGGGGTCAGGGCAGGCAGAGCAAATGTAATCCTCACCTTGTTGCCCTACATACAGCCAGTGTCCTGGAACAAGTGTCCTGCTGTGTGTGACAGGTGCCTTGTGGACTTTTCATAAGGCCAATGTCCAGAAGCACTTGTCCTCACCCAGGGTCTCTGACTTAGAGTTTCTCATCGTCAGTTTAGAAATGTGTAACTGGGGCCCTATTTGGTTTGGCTTTACTGGTGTTAACATCACTTCAGCAGGTGTTAACATCACTTCACCTGAGTTGAGGTTGTTCTTTGGCACATTAGTGATCCCTAGCTAGCTTCCAGACAGCCAGCAGGCTTTTCTTGCACTGGTGTTGGTGACACTATACTGTGCTGCATATTTTGGAGGTACACAGGAGATGGAGGTCAGGGCTGGTTTTTGATTCAGCACCTATGGAACCCTGATTTGGGACTCTGCCTTCATAGAGTCTAGGGAGCCTTAC